ATGTAAAGAGCCCAAATGAAATCAGAAGAGAATATTTACTGATTTTACAATCATTCCCCAAAGCACCCACACACAACCGCAAACCTTGAAGATGAAAATAGTAAGCTTTGAAAGATTAGATTCTCTTCTAACATTCTAACTACATTCACTTGACATCAAGACAACAAGTGAACATACACATGTGCCAAGAATTAGGATGAACAGATTAAGAATTTAGTTCTAACATGCTCCCATTAGATTAAGTAACATATTTCTTCCATCTTTTAACCTATACCACCTTCTTGAGAAACTTTGAGTAACACACCTTTCTATCATATTTGGTTTTATAGTAACCCAATATCCAATCATAAGACTACATTTCTTTCTAAATGTATCCATTATCACTTCTAGGTCTTTGACTAAGATCAAATGTAAATCAGAAACTAATTAGAGATTGTGATATAAAGCCCATTAAGTTCTTCCATTTCCCCACATCCAGTTCCAGTGGATTATGGAAGATCCACCTAGGTTTTAAATCATTCTAGAAGATCCAGAAAACCCATGCTACATCAATATTTGAAATTTTCCATTTATTTTGAGAAAAATCTATCTAAATTCTAAGTCCAAAACCTCAAAATCAATCCCACAGTTAAAAGAATCAAGATGTAATAGTAATCAGGAGGAATATTTAAGACAAACAAAATTAAAAGCAAGTCCCAGATGGCTTTCTAAAGCTTCAAACATAATCACTTTACACTCCTGCTCCCCAGCATTGGACTCACCTTCTGAGAACCCAGATTACTAACTATGTTCAAATTAAACTCAACTAAATTGCAAGTTTACTAATTTAGGAGAGAAATATCTACAAAAGTTTGACACAAAGATAGTCTTTCCCTCTTTCCATAAGATATGCTCTCTGCCTTCTGTCTCCACATAGAAATAACTGAAATTCAAAATTAAAGTTTTTGTCAAAGAACACAAACTTCTTTCATGTCTCAAAGCTGCAAAGAACCCCTTGCACAGATACATGCTAGGGACTTTGAATCTACCTCCCATCTACTAGAATCTGGAATAAAATAATAACAATTATTAACTATATGAGTACTTCCATTTGTCTGGATTGAATTTTTTATCTTGCCATGTTTTTCATGATTCATCCTTAAAAATAGAATAAATGTTAGTTTGCAACAATCAGAACACACAATCCTACTGCAGCGGGTTGTTTAGATCATATGCAGGAAGGAGGGGCTGCAGGAGAGGTGGGCAGTGAAAGAAGCCAATGATGCCCTAAGGCCACAGCCACAGGGGCAAGTACAATAAATTGGGAAACATCACGGTATCTGTTTCCCAAATTCTTCTTTCCAGACTGGGGCAGAGCAATTCTTCCTCTACTACTGGTCAAAGTAGGATGCATGTTTTTAAAGATTTCATATACTTAGCTTAAAATGTCCATGATTAACCCAACTATGTGAGGGTTCTGTGATTGACTGCTCATCACCTCATTATTTCCCTCCTAAGGCTGGTCTTGAAGTTATTAGCAGGAGGAAAGTGCAGAATTTCAGAATACTGAGGTGATCTATTTTTAAGGCAGACACTAAAACAAACAAAAACAAAACCAACCAACCAAACAAACAAAAACCACCCAGATGTATAGATAGACAAGTAGAGAGGCAAGTTATTTTAGATTTCAAGCAAGCACAGATCGAACGTGTCCAAAGCACCAATATTCGGTAGGGTCTAAACAGCTTTGATTTCTTGCAACTGAGCTGGTGAAGAAAAGCAATGCTGCCTAATTCCCCTTCCTTCCATCAACTCTCTATCTGTGGCAGTAGGAGGACACACCCCCTATCAACCTCCTCCCAACTCAGATCTTCCCCATCCCTTTAGCATCCACCTTTAACCCAAGGCTCTGGGAACACACTGACAGCCCAGCTCCCTTCTCTTCCCCTTCAACCCACCCCAGCGGGCACAGCCGCCTCTCCAGCACTTCCAACTTTGTCATTAGAACACCTGGCCCTCACTCAATGCCCTTTTACCTCTCCTCCGTGACTCGCCTGCCCACTACGGGGTCCCAGGTCCCTCCTAAGACTAGCCACAGTCGGCCCCGAGTCCCTAGCAAGGTAAGCCCCGCACGCCAAGCCCTGCATTGCCCGAGCTCTCGGCGTCCCATCCTCCTGGGCCAGAGCCAAGTCCACGCTTCATCCCTGACCCGGAGCCGGAGCCCGGCTCCTTTGGGCCTAGTCAAGGACACCGCCTCCTCCTGGCCCACACCCGCAGGCGGCGCCTCTTGCAGCCCAGCTCTCCTCCCCCGCGCCGGACACTCACCCAAATGTGACCGGGTAGTGACCACAGGAAAAGACCAAGCCGCGAAAGACCGTACGCGGCGCCTCCCCTCCGCTACCAGCTTTATAGCCGCCGACCCACCCGACTCCGGCACAGCCAATTGCAGTCAGCAAAGTAGCCCAGCAGCGTCCGCCTTCCAGTCCGCTTTCCACCAATCAGAAGAAAACTAGAGGCGGGGACTCGCTGGAGTTTTCCCTCGTGGCTGGAAGGGCGGGGGAAGGGGAGGGGACCAAGTTGAAGGGCCGAGGAAGTGGGGTGAGACAGTGACGTCGGGTGGCCCGAGAGCCTGGGTGCCAATGACAGAGCGGCGAGAGACGGCGAGAGCCAACGAGAGAGGAGTGAGAGGTTCTCTGACCAATTCGGGCTCAGTGAGAGGCAATGGGGGCCAATCGGGGCTCCGCGTCCCACCACTGAGGAGAGATAGTCAAGTGTGGGAGGCGAGTTGGTCCCTACTTTAGTTTGTCAGGTTGCTTAGCAACCGAGAGCCAGGCTTCACCTGTAAGATTTCTGAAATAATTGATTTGAATTCAATCTTAACGTTTCCTAGTTTCCAGAGCAGCAAAACGCGCCTGGATCACAAGCTGGAGCAGAATACTTCGTTCTGAATTTATAAATTTGTAAATATTCTCAGTAGCAGATTTGTAAACATTCAATGTTGTCACCTCCATTTAATACCACCTTGACTTTTAAAGAAACGACTGTTGAGACAATTCTTCCTAACTAAACCTAAAACAAAAATATTTTAGGGGCTAGGCATCAGCGAGGAAGATGCAGGGTTTTGTCTGAAAAGGGAAGTTGACCCTGCATTTAAGGATTTTTGCTGGGCATCTGGTTTGGTCCTCCCTGTGTCTTCTGAGCTTCTCTTGTGATAGATGCCAAATAAAAAGTTATTCAAAGAAACAGTTCTTAGTATAGCAAATCCATAGAGTAAGGATTGCCTTACTACCCCCAGAAAATCACTAAGAACTCAACGTGGGAGAACTCAAAGGACGATAATTATAGCGTCTCAATAGTCTCAGCCTCTACCTAGTCTAGTCAGTCAGAGAAATTAATACTTAATTTTCATGGGGGACCATGAGGGAGGTTCAGGATTGTTTGTGTCTCTCTTAGCAGCAAAGTGGCAAAATATGTTGGAACCACTGAAAGTGTCATAAGTTACTGGTAGGGAGAGGATCGTTAGGTAATGGTTATTACTCCACAATATCATCTGTGACATTCAGTCTATTCCAGAATCAATGTCATTGCATATCTTCATAAAGTTAGTAGATGATAAGTAGAAGAGACATTGCCTGATTGTGATCAACATTTTAGGGTGGGATGAATGTTAAAATTCTTGGCATATTAGAGTGTATTGAAAGGCAATAAGAATAAACATAAGAGAGACTGGGGATATAGCTCAGTTGGTAGAGTGCTTGCCTTGCATGTGCAAGAACCTGGATTTAATCCCCAGTACCACAAAAAAATAAAATAAAATAAAAATAAGGGGCTAGGGTTGTGGCTCAGCGGTAGAGCACTCTCCTAGCACCTGCAGGGCACTGGGTTTGATCCTCAGCACCACATAAAAATAAAATAAAGGTATAGTGTCCAACTACAACTAAAAAAAAAAAAAAAAAAGAGTAAACACAAGGGAGAAGATAAAGTCTTGCCCTTACAAAGGGTTAGTAGATAAATAACTTCAACTCCAGGAGGGTACAATAAGAAACGCTTAGTGAGAGTCATGAAAATGATTGTTTTCAACTGGAAATCCCCACAAGGTACAGACTGTCTTTTTGATCAAATTAATCTTCCATTAAGCAAGGTAAACATGGTTATTTATTTTGGGAAGCTGAGCAAAAGACAATAAAATGGGATAGTAATTAGATATAGAACATCTTAATTGAAATTTTAAAAACCACAATCTGAGATTCTATTAAATATTATAATAGATTATACAAAGTCATTTGAATATTAGCTATGGTCTGTGCAACTGAAGTGTACTTATATTTATTATGCAAGAGATTACAAGTTTTTTGGAGCCATGAGTTTTGACACAAACACAGTGAAACCAAGGTCATAATTGAATGTCATTTTAAGACATGTTAAAATAAATGTTGTATGACCTTGTTTAAGAATTTAATGCTACAGGGGCTGGGGTTGTAGTACAGTGGTAGAGTGCTTGCCTAGCATGTGTGAGGCACTCAGTTCAATCCTCAGCACCACATACATATAAATAAAAATAAAGGTCTTTCAACAACTAAAAAAACAAATTTAATGTTACATATTTATTGGCCAAGAACTATATATGCTGTATATCAAAGGTAAAGTATAATTTGTCATAATTCTCTACTTTAAAAGAAAAAAAGCAGGAAGACATTATAGTTATAATGTTTAGTATTATAAATACATTTATGGAACAAATATTTACTTTTTATCTGCTCTGTAGCAGGAATTGTGATAGACGTAGGCTGTTCAATAAAGCAGGCACTAGCTACATATGGCTGTTAAGCCTTTGAAAGATGACTAGTCCAAAGTGCAATGGGCTGTCAACGTAAAATACACACCAGATCTTAAACACCTAGTAAACACAAGAAAAAAATTTAAATATCCCCATTAAAAATTTATATTGATTCATGTTATAATGATAATATTATATTAACATTAGGTTAAATAAAATATGTTAAAATTAGTTTTACCTGTTTCTTTTTGTTTTTAATGTGAAATTAAACATGTAGCTTCCATTTGTGGCTCCTATATGTACTAGACAATAGGAATACATACCAAAAGACATAGACTGTGTCCTCAAAGAGTATATAGTCTAAAGAGTAGAAGAGAGAGAAGGAGAGAAAAATTAATAGCCAAGGACTAGGCTTCATACTATATAGCTCAAAAGCAAAAAGTCAAAGCTAACAATTTTTTTTTGTAAGAAATCTAAACTTTATAGTCTCTACCTCACTAAATAATATGTAGGAAGAGTTAAGTTGGGAAGAACCTTCAAATTTACCAATTATAGGTATCTCCATCTCTTCCAATTTAAAAACCTTATTTATCTAAATATACAATATCAAATTGATCCCTATCAGGGCTATTTTTCCTAAACTCTCTACTTGTCAGGAAGGTATCCAGGTTTTATGGTGCTTATTGGTCGATGTTGTATCAGCAGAGGGAGCCCATTCCTACATGTGCATTCTTTTTCTTTTTTTTTTTATTAGTTGTTCAAAACATTACATAGCTCTTGACATATCATATTTCATACATTTGATTGAAGTGGGTTATGAACTCCCATTGTTACCCCATATACATTTTGCAGAATCCTGGCTAGGGTTTTAGCTCTTGTCCTTCCTCTTTCCTATCTTACCATTGAAAGCTTTACTACCATGGGAGGATGCATAAAAGGTATTTTTTTTTAAATAGCACAATTAGCAATTATAATACAGTTCAAATGCTACACAATGAAGTATGCCCAAAGGACAAAAGTTCCAAAGAGGAGTGAGAACTTAATCTAGCCTGGTGGTTAAGGAAGGCTTCCAGAGCCGGTAATAGTCATTCATTTATCAAATTTGTAAACATTTATTTAACCCTAACCCTGTGTGCCAGACACTTCTCCAGGTTCTGGGGTGAAGGTAAAAGACACAATTTCTGATCCAGTCCAGCTTTGTGGGGGAAACAGGACATTATGTAAGAAAAAAGGGTAAATAAGCTGAGGTTTCTTCAGATAGTGATGATACTATGAAGAAAATAATGCAGAGCAAAGAGAGAGAAATGACTGTGGAATAGGTAAGTGCACAAGATGGTTAAGAAAGATTTCTTTGAAATAGTAACACTTAAGCTGAGATTTGCAGGCTGAGTGGCAGCCAGCCTGTGAAGCTCTGGGGACAAAGTGATCAAGGGAAGGGACCAGAAAGGGCAAAGGGCCTGAGACAGGAGCATGTTTGGCATGTATGAAGAACAGAAAATGAAGGCCCCTGTATCTGAGCTAAGTTTTAAAAGAAACAGGAGCTATCATGTTGCAAATCAGGTATCTGGAAGAAGGGGGGAAGGCATAAAGAGGGGGAAAGAGATCCATAAACTGTACAATGTATGAACTGAAATTTGAATCAAGAGTAATAAACAAATTAAAGCTTTGGTAAGTAACAGTGAACCCTCCCTTGTACTTGGCTTTTCAGTAAGAAGAGGATTAATGGAATAGGATGCAGTATTTTCTATGTACTTTGGAGAAAAGGACGCAATGGAGCCTATTCCCCATGCTGTGGTCCTGAGAATATTCTACTTCTCATTTGTTAACATTTGTAATGCATGTTTAAGGAGCATCTACTATTTTCCAGAGATTGTAATAAGTGTCTTATATACATTACCCTCAACATCAACCCCACTGGACACACCTTAATTTGTAAGTGAGGCACAGAGAGATTAAGTAACTTGTTCCCAATTATTCAATTAGTAAGTAGCAAGTTAGGATCCAAAACCCATATTTCTTCTGCTATTCTATGTACAAAGGCACAATTGTATTCAAACATAGGGTAGGCAGGAGTGGGATAGTAGATGTTGAATAAGGGAAAGTGGTAACTTCTCCCAAGAGGCCTCAGAAGACAGCATTTATAACCCTGGGGATTCTTACTATAGAAAAGATTTGGTACTTGGCTCATGAGCATAGAAGACTTCTTTTACCAGCTTGCTAAGAACAAATCCATGTCTGAGGGGCCCACTATATTAATATAATGATAACAATGTCAGAATACCAGTTTTCTATTTATAGTACAAAAAGGACCACAACCCTCAAAGACTACAAGAGTCACCCTCTTGGTTAATCTACATGAGAAGCCAAGTCATACTCAAAAGATTAGCCAACATGAAATTGGAAAGAGAGTTATAAATCAATTTGATTCTAACTATCAAGTTGAGATTAAAAAAAAATGCATGTTTTTCTCACTCAGATGATCTTCCCAATACCGTGGAAATATGTTAAGGCCATTAAGCAGTACCATCTGCTTTCACCAACTAGCTTTGATAGTGAGACCAGAGTATTTGAAGTAAACTGTCTTCTTCTATGTACCATACTTATTTGGACACTGTCAGTATTTATGTGCACAACTTCCCTTTTAAAAATGAGTTGATGGCTAACTATCTTCATTTCCAGTCTTCAATTCTCTAAACAAGTTAGAACAATGAATCTGGATAAAGTCTAATCTTAACAGCTGGAGTGACATTTGTCTTTTTCAAAGTGACTTCTTCTATCTCTGCTTTCATGTGTGAATCATCAGCTTTCAGGTTTTTGGGGGTACCTCATTGTAGAGTCCACTTACTGAGAACACATACAACCTTCACACTCCCTCACTTTTAATCTATAGAAGGAAAATAGTAGGAGAGCAGCCAGCCCACAAATGGTATAAATTATGTGTGCAATGTGGTTACAAGTGAATTCTTTCTGGATTATTTTCAGGACATAAATAGGCATGAATGCCTGGAACTGAGAAAGAGACACTAAATACCTTAAAAATAATAATAGTGGTGCAGACACCTTTTGGAGGAATCCAGTTTCACCTGACTACAGTCATCTTGTTCTTAACTGCCATCTTACCCACCAGGTGCCCTTCACATGCATTTTGAACTGTAGGATAAACAAAGTTGATAAGGCTGGCTGAGAGCTAGTCATGGCACAAGCCTGTTATCCCACTGACCTGTGAGACTGTGGCAGGAGGATCATAAGTTTGAGGCTGTTAGAAGCCTGGGGCCCTCTGGGAAACCGAAGCAATGCAAAGGCCCTCCTTCAAATCCTGATTCTTGTGATCAAGTCAGAAAAATTTTAGACATGTCACTCAGAGTAACAGAATTGAGTTTATTGAAGAGATAGGAAAAGGGAAAGAAGTCACATGCTCAAGGGAGACAGTGGGTTTTCTCAGAGAGGAGAAGGACAGTGTGCCTCTCCTGCACTCCATTTTTATTGGGAATCCTAGAGAAGTATCCAGAGAGTCCCACCTAGTTCTACCTCTTGACTTGAGTCACAGCAGGATGATGTCATACTTTCAAGCCCCACTGCTGTGACAACTCTAGGTCACCTTGGCCCATGCTGATCAGTTCTAAGTGGATTCTTAACCATAAAGTTTTACAGATTTGATGGTTAGGAGGAATTATTCTTATCTCCCTGGGATTGGGGATCTGATGGGTGGAAAGGGTCACAAATGTTTCCCCTTCAGGGTAACTTGAGCTCCTTTTATTGACATTGTTTGAGGCAAGCCTTTCTCCCTATAGATAACAAGTGCTTTGCTGAGGAATGTGATATAACCTGTCCACTTCATTGAGGCAAAGCTTCAGGTAAGTTATTTCTTGGAAAAAAAAAGCATATGGGGGTCAGCAAAGTAAGCCCATTTTTCCTACCTTCCTATTTTCCTACCTTCATCATTGCTCCTGCTTTTGGATTATAGATATAAAGCAGGTGTAAATTATAATTCTATAATTTATAGAATTATTCCCTTAACCTCATGTTCCTCCCATTCACATTTGTCTTTCCCCAATCAGGGCTAGCCTAAGGATTTAGTGACACCCTGTCTCAAAACAAAAAATAAAAAGGACTGGGAATGCAGCTCAGCGGTAGAGTGCCCCTGGGTTCAATCCCCAGTACTGAAAGAGAGAGAGAAAGTAAGTTATCTGAACTCATGTTGGCCGGTTATTGACTCCTAGACTGCTTTTTAAGCTAACATTTGCCATGTTCATAGTTTTTGAGAAAGTCCAGGTACATGCCTGTTGGTTGTGGCCCACTTGGTCTAGCCTAGCATATAAACCCCCTTCTTATTGCCCTGGGGTGCACTTGTCTTGCTACCACCCAAGGCATACTTTAGCTATAACACCCTAATAAGTTGCATTTATTCACTTCTTTCTTCTGTATCTTGTCACTTCCCATCTTTGGCAGTCAATTTTTGTAAACCAGTTTTTTTTCCAAAACATCTTTTGAAAGGTGAAATTGAATTGGTGAAATAAAAACCTTTCTATAATCAACCACCACCTGCTTTACATCTATAATCCAAAAGCAGGAGCAATGATGAAGGTAGGAAAATAGGAAGGTAGGAAGAGAGGGAGGGTTCAAGAGACATTAGTCCAAGGGGTACAATATTCTGGGTAAAAGGCAATATCTCTTGCCCAATGGGGAAGGGAAGCTCTGTGACAACCAGGTTAGATCTAAGTGTGGGGTGTGGACTAGAAGGAGACACTGACCTTTCTGTTCCAGGGGCTGACTGCTGAGCTGCAGGGTATGCAGGTCTGTCACACTATATCCTCAGGAGCACTGTGGCATAAAAGGTCAGTTCTTAGAAGAACTCGGCCTACATCCCCCTAGGGGAGGAGAGGGACACGTATAAACATAGAGCTTGGTGCCTGCTCTGGATCTGCATGTTTTTGAGATAAAAACTTGCTGAAATGGTCAACAAAGAAGAGGAGAGGAAGAATGGATCGTTCATTCTTCCAACATGTGAGAAGAAGATAGGAGGATACCCTGTGCCACAACACCACAACACTAATTGAGTGTGAAAGAGAACCTCGGTGGTTCCCACGGCACTCATAGCATAGGTGGAGCAAGAGCTTCTTATGGTTTTTCTTATGGTTTTTCTCCAACACCCCCAGGGCTTTGTTTGGCTTTTGTCTTCAATCTATTCTCTCACGTCATAGATGGTTGCAACATATCTAAGTGTTATTTCTTCATATAACAAGTACTCAAAGGCTGCAAGAGGGGAAAAGGACAACCTTCTCTAAATCCCTTTGGAAAAGCAAGCAAGAAAACTTTTCTGGAAACTCCTCATGAACTCCTCATATCTCATTGGGCAGAATTGAGTCACACACCCTCTCCTAAATGAATCATTATAGAGGGAACATAAGTATCAGAATTAGCTTTAGCTTTCTCTAAAAATCATGCAAGATCCTGTTCGCAAGGAAGATGGGGCAATTGACAGAATGGTGGGCAATAATTGGTCTGTCATTCGGATTCCTCAGCTGGAATCTGGTCCACTTTAGCATCCCACTTCCTGTGTATGGGTATGGATGCCTGGGGACTGCACAGATTGAACAATTAATCACTAGACTTCTGCTAGGCTTGTGGCTTTATGACAGTACATTCCCTTTAAACCGTAATTGGTGGCTGGTTGATTCAATTTTAGAGTTCTATTTACTAGTATATTGGTCAGTACTCTTAGTTGCACAGGATAGAAATTAACCCATTCTAGATTAATCAATTGATTCACATAATGAAAAATTCAGGAAGTTGGTCGTGTTTCAATCATGATTGAATCCAAGAGGTTAGTTGATGTCCTTAGTGCAAGTGTTAGGCAGCTTTCTGTCACTATATCAAATATTGGTTTTAGAATCTCAGTCCATGATTGGTTGGCCCTGTTCTTTCAGGCTTGTGGTAAGACATGAGACAGCACATCATGGGCATGGTGAAAAAAACTTGTTTACCTCATGTCCCAGAAATGAAAGAGATAAAGGAAGAAGGTTGTAGCCCAGTGGTATAACACTTGCCTAGCATGTGTGAGGCACTGAATTTGATTCTTAGCACTGCATATAAATGCATAACAATAAAGACCCATTAACAACTAAAAAATATTTTTTTTAAATTGTATTAAAAATATTAGTAAGCAAACAAATCAGGATAACAGGATAGAATAGATCGACTGGGCAAGAGGATGGTGATAATGAGATGGTGAAGAAATACTTATTTCTTGTGACAGTCAAGCTGAGATAGACTTGATGAGGAGCAAGCCATCTGAAGCCCTGAGTATTGCAAGAGAAATAATAGCAGGTGCAAAGGCCCTGCGACAAATAAACACAGAAATTCAAAGAACAGGAAAAAAAAGCAAGTATAACTGAGTTGTTTTGAAGAAGTAATAAGAGTTTGTCAGACTTAGAGATGGGCAGGTAGGAGGATCAGAATTTACTTAAGACAAAGAGAATAGTATCATGCATAGTGCAGGAGCCATAATTTTAACATGTTTAAGAACATGGTAATTGGTCTTGTGGGCCCAGGAGCCAATTGTTAGTAATAGGCTGTGAAGTAAATTCACACCAACCAAACTTCTGATGCTCAGTATATGATCAGAAAGCCAGTTTTAAATACGATTGCCTGGAAAAGTCCAGACAAATAAGATCTGAAATCAGGAATATGAAGGTCAATTCACAAGCATAGTTAAAAATGTTTTTAAAAATTTTCCATAATTTAAGTTCACCATGAAGATGGAAAAATGGCTATAGTAGAGAATACTCAAATGAAAAGATACACTAAAAAGGAAAAAACAAAACAAAACTATCTTTGATAGATAGAAGCTATCTTTGACAAACACACTGATATGTCTTGTCTAGGATTAATAATTTGTTTCCCTTATGAAAAAGTGCATAACTCTAACTGTCATGGCTTCCAATCTAGCAAACTAAATGTTACTATGCAAGCGAATTATAAGACACTGATTTTTAATATTCTAGTGTATCTTCCCAGTCAAAATAAAAGTCCCAAACTGTAGCAAATGGTAAGATAAAGAATAATTAAGGAGCAATATGTCCATAGTAGATATCAACATATTATTAACAAAGCTGTAAACCTAAAAAAATGACAGGGGAAGGAAGGAAGGAAAGGAGAGAGGGAGGGAGGAAGGGAGGGAGAAAGAAGGAAAGAAAGAAAGGGAGGGAGGGAGGGAGAAAGAAGCTTGTTTGTCATTTGAATGTGGACTGGAAGTCTCAGCTTCTGAGCTACAAAAAGATTCTAAATCATTGTACCCACATGCTGAACACTTCTATCTAAATAAGTAGTAAAAGTGTGTGATATAGTAAACATGAGAACTTGATTTAGGAATTTATTTACTTGATTCTCCTCCTTGGAATGAAGAAATAAGTTATTGTTATATTAACTTTTTGTTTTATGGATTTTAAAAATAGAAGTTTGTGTCTACTCTGTATCAGTTTTTCTGATGATCATAAAGGAACTACAGAATACAAAATTGTGGGCTTAGGTATAACCTATTTTAATCCTTGCAAACATTAGATTTTCACTAAAATAAAAAATAGTTGTAATGCATATTTGTGATTTTTTTTCCCTTGACTTCTTACCATGTGAATCTCTTTCCTATATTTAGGGAATCCTTCTTGAATGTTTCTTAATATCTTCCTCCCACAAGCAGAAGATGGGAACACCAAATAATCTCTTTCTCAGATCACCTAACATGTTGAGAGAAAGCACATGACCTGGCTTCAGCATGTCATATACAGCCACCCGGGGCTTTAAATCTGAAGCTAGTGTTACAAAGAAGCAAGGCAAGTGGATAATTTTTCTGATAGTGACCACCCTGAATGCCCCGTCCATTTTCTAGGGGCAAAGGTCAAGAGTGAGTTCAGGACCAGTGACATGAGCCCCAGCTCCACCATCCTGCAGAGACCACAGGTCCCTCCTGACTGCCTGGGGATGGTTGCTCTACTGGCTGGCCAGTCACCCTTCCTTTCTCCCCACTCTCTAATCCTGGTTCCTCAGTCTTCCTGAAAAATTTCTGAGATGCTCAGTATCATTTTAGTAAATTCCTTTTTTGCTTAAACCAGCTTGACCTTGAATTCACTTCAATGACCAACTTTCTATGGCTGTAACTTTCTGAAGTTTCCACATTTTATTTACATTAAAAACCAAAAACCTCTAACATCATTTTATTACCCATGTTGTCACTGGGAGATTATATGCATGGAGATTTAACTGTTATGTGTTATAATCCAACTGTGCCTGTGTCTTTTTTAAAAAAAATTGGTCCCTGTGATATCCAGAAAACAAATGAAAATAATGTCATGGACCTTATGAAGGTGGGTGGCATGTGGAGGCCTAATTAGAGGTGAAGAAAGTCTAATTAGAGGGTTGGAAGAAGAAACCAGGTAAGTGTAACACAGTTCATTCTCGGGAGCAACCAGCTTACAAGGTGGTGTGTGCTCTGCTGCTCTCTGCCATGAAGTAAGCTGGCAGCATCAGTCTGTCCTTTCTGAAAAGGCCAGACCTGGTCTACCATTGCCTGGTTCTGAAGGGTGAGTCTGTAATTCTGAGGTTCAGTATGAGGAAGGCCACTGTTGTTTTCACTCACCTGAACCACGGCCTTTACCTAGACTTTTAGTAGTAATGAGTGCAATACTTCAGTGCAACTGCACAACTGTTTTATAACTTGACAGACAAGGACTGAGTTTTTATTTCACCACCTCAGACTCATGCAAATTTATACAAATTTATACAAATTATCCTAGATGCACTTTCAGAGTAAAATTCTATTTTGTTATTTTTTTTCTTCTTGTCTGAGGCTAGATCCAATCAGGACAGAGAAAGCTACAGTAATTTAAACAGGAAAAGTTTAATATTAAGAATTACTAAGTTATAGGATTGGCTTATAAGGGGCTGACTGACTAAGAAGTTACGAAAACTCCGAAGAATGTAAGAACAGGAAACATAAGGAGCCCCCATTAGCCTGAGATCAGACTTTGTCGAGAGCTTGGCTGTAGCTCATGGAAAGGTGTAGAAGTCACTGTTGTGGCCTGTGCTCATGAATTTGCTGGAAATGCATCCTCTAGGGTACCAGGAAAAGTGTTTGGGACTCACCAGTGGCACTAGCTACAAAATTGGTTAAGGCAAAAAGTAAAAACCCTTTTTTCTTCTCCCATTGTGTGTTAGTTGGCTTTTTGTCTCTGTGGCCCAAATGCCTGACATATATCACTAAGAGGAAAGATTTATTTTAGCTCATGGTTCAGAGATTTCAGTCTAAGGTTGGCTGGCTCCAAGCAGAAACATCAAGGCGGAAGGGCATGGTAGAGGAAAGCCTTCACCTCATTGCAATCAGGAAGCAGAGAAAGCTAGAAGAAGGGGAGGGGGATAAAGTTCCCAAGGGCATGCCACCAAGGACTTGCTCCCTTCAACTAGGTCCTACCTCCCAGTAGTCCATTATCAATAGATTAATTCACTGAGAAGGTCAGAGTCTTCATGGTCTAATCACTTCCTCAGAACCCCACTTCTGAACATTGCTGACATTGCTGCAGTGGGAACCAAACCTCCAACCCATGAGCTTTTGGAGGATGTTGCAGATACAAACCATAACACAGTGTATTTCTAGAAACTTCCTAGGAAAGGAAGACTATGACTTTAATCTGAAAATCTTGTGCTATAGTTTCTCATATCTTTTCTCCCCAAGCCAGTCATTCCCCCAGTCCTATCATTTCCAAATTCCTGAAAAATCTAAAAATCCTAAAATCACTGTAAGTTCATTCACTTTCCTCCTAACCCTTATGGATTTATCACTTTTTAGAAAATGCATGTGTTGTCATTTCAGCCAGTTCTCACAAGGGAAAAATGTCAACGTGTTTTCAATGCATATCTTAACTTGTCTCTGGTTGAAACCTGAACGAGTTGAAAGAGAGAACCAACAGGAGACAGACATGAGGAGATTGACAGCAAGGAACTGGCATATGTGATGTGGGAGTGTCCAGCAAATCCAGAGGGCAAGCGATGAGGAAGGGCAGGCTAAAACTCTCTCCTACAGTAGCAGAGGCTGCACCCCACATTTGTTCTTCTTTAAAAAAGGCTTGCTCTCTCTTTAAGCTTTTCAAATAACTGAATCAGATCCACCCAGATTATCTATTATCCCTTAATGTCACCCTACTATGAACTTTAGTTATATCTACAAAACACCTTCTCAACAACACCTACATTAGTGTTTGCTTGAATAAACAGGGACTGTAGCCTTGCCAAGTGGATGCACAAAACAGAACATCACACCCTTATTATGGATTGGATATTTTTAGGGTTGTAAAAACAGTGCTTGAGTATTTCTTTTGAAAAAATCTGCATCGTATTTTAGCACTTACTTTGGAATTTCACATCTATTATGACACTTTAACTTCCATATATAACATCTTGATGCTCGGCCTCACAGAACCATTCAGACTAATGAACCTCTTATTTGTTGAATTTCCCAAACCCCCCAAACTCACTCTCCTCCTATTCCATAGCCCACTGTTCAGGACATATCTTGGCCTCTCTGTTTCCTAAACTGGCTACCGGTTCTGCACTAGAAAATACAAAACCACTCAATGTTCAGCACCTTCCCTGCCAGTGATACAAACCTTGTTACCCAAGGAATTAAATACCAAAGCCACAGTTATCCAAAGCCCTTTGTAGTATTATTCTTGCAGAAATTTCTCACAAAAACAAATGGTTTGCTTTTCCTCAAGGTACTCTATTTTCTCACATTTCTTAACTGACTTGTGCTCTCCTGTCCAAAATGTCTTGGCCCCATTTATGCCTATGAATTCTTTTTTTTTTTTTTAATCCTTGAGTGGATGTTATGTTTTCCTCTTCACCACTTCACATTCCTTAGTATCTATATTTCTCTGGCTTACATTAGAATCACTCCACATGTTGTTATTTTCCACCCATTCCTAGATTTTAAGCTCCTTGAGGACAGGGACCCTTCTAGTTTTTGCTTCTATTGCTGCTAGAATCTAGCACAATGCCTTGCCCAAAACAGACATTTAACTCTATTTTTCAGAGGTGAATGTAGCTAATCAGGTCATTATTTTTCTAAACATGTATGCAATGAACTACACATGTGATCTCTATAACAGAAAACATGGCTTTGAGTCTTTCCTTATTAGTCTTATCTCTTCTAGTTCTCATTCTCTTCAGCTTTAAAATGAGAGGCTTGGCATGGGCCAGATGATTTTCAAACTTGCTATGTTCTTAAGTTCCATAATTTTCCAGTTCTTACAACAAGAATACTAGCTTGTTTTCACAGTTCTTTAAAGCAATAATGTTGTTCTGAGGAAGAAGACATAATAATTCAGGTGATTGATAGGTTGATTTGCAAAGATTATAGTCATTTGGCAGGTCTGACCTGCCCTGCCCTGTCTTGCCCTCCCTGGGAAAGCTTGCTTCCCAGAACCCTTCTGTAAGAGAGCAGAAAATCTGGTCAAAGGTGTGAGGATGGTAGCAGGTAAGATCTGAGCAAATGAAGGGAAAGAAGAAATTGAAGACACCATATCAAAAAGAGGTAGATAAATTTGAATTTTTAGGCCTTGAAGAAAGAATACAATCAAAACAAACAAAAAGCCCTTTTAGAAATAGGAAAACTTGCCTAAGAATATCTAGTCTTCTGATTTTGAAAAAATAAATTCAGTTTAGGTTATTTCTAGGTTTACAGGAAAATTGCAAATATTGTACAACATTCCCAAATATACTCCATTCCTAGTTTTTCCTATTGTTAATGTCTTCTTACCTATAGTACATTTGTCACAACTAATAAACCAATGTTGAGACATTATAATTAACTGAATTCTGTAAGTCTATACTTTTTTGGATTTCCTAAGTTTTTACCCAACATTATTTATTTATTTTCAGAGCTAGGGATTGAACTTGGGACGTGTGCATCCTAAGTGAGTGCTCTAACCACTGGGTTATATCACCAATACCCAATACTCCTTTTTTGTTCAGGATCCCTTCCAGCATATCACATTACATTAAGTTGGTATGTTCCCATAGACAGTTTTCTAACTTTCCTTGTTTGGCAGTGATCTTGATGATCTGAGAAGTACTGGTTAACTATTTTGTAGAATGACCCTCAACTAGGGTTTGACTGATGTTTTCCTCATGGTTAGACTGGGGTTATGGGTTTTCTGAAGGAAGACCACAGAGGTCAAAGTGCCATTGTCATTAAATCATATCAAGAGCACATACCATAATTGTAACTTATCACTGTTCATGTTACCCTTGATATCTGGCCAAAGCAGTGTTTATCGGTTTCCTTGCTGAGAAGTTAATCTTTTGCTCCCTTTCCATACTGTGTTCTTCAAAGGGAAATCACTAAGCATAGCCCACACTTGAGTGTTGGTACTCCTCTGACTTTATTTCCTAATTTTCTCCAGATTTGTCTTGTTTTTTATCATAGTCTCATTGTCACTCTGGCTCCATCTCCTGTATTCCTTTCTCCCATCCCCTGATAATAGCAGCAGTCATTTCCTTTGTGACAGTTGAATCTCTATGAAAAACCATTCCCTTTTCCCATCCCCATTTCACAAAAATATGCTATATTAGTATTACATTACAAACTACCCATAAACTCAGTGATTGAAAAAAGTGACTTGCTCACATGTCTGTGGATTAGTCAGTGGTCAACTGATCCAGGCTGGATTCAGCAGAAAGGCTCTCTTCAGGCTGTGGTTCTGTCAAGCTCAGATTTTCTGCTATATTTACATTCTGGAACCCAGAATAGAGAGAGTAGCTATCCCAAATGGAGAATTCTGAAAGCAACGACAGAATGCTAGAGGACAAGCCCTACTGCACAAATTCTCACTAAGCCCCAGTTTGCATCATTTCTGTCAAAAAGCCAAAATATGTCTTATAGTTAAGTCCAAAGCCAAGGTGAGGGAACATACATGCTGCCTTTGTGAGAGGAACTGCAGAGCCACGTGGCAAAGAGTGTGGATACAGAGATGAACAAAGAATTGGGGCCAGTTATTCAATACACCTCAGTTAATCATAGTAGTCTCCAGTTTCAGTGCAGGGAAGAACCACTTCTTGGCGACCACTCCAGATATGGGTATGAGCCAAGAGAAAGCAGTAAGCATTAGTTGCATTGATCTTCAGCCATGGCACTAGGTGAAGTAGGCTTGGTGGAAAATGGAGCTGGGGGTGGGTGGGGGGACCAAAAGCAAACACATTAGGAAGATTTCATATTCTTCTTATATCAAAGATCTTTAGCTATATTTTATCTTTGGCTCTTACATTTTCTTTTTCTTACTTCCTCCCACACAGATATTCCTGAAAAATAAAGGATAAGGGGTGGGGAGATAACAAATCAGTTTCTCAAACTTTTCCCCAATCCAATCTAAATCAATGAAACAGAAGCCAGCTTCATGCTATGAGAACAACTCTGTGACCACACACACAATAGAATACATTATTTAGATTTTTTTTTTCAGTGCTGGGTTTGAAACCCAGGGCCTCACACATGCTAGGCAAGTGCTCTACCACTGAGCTGCATCCGCAGTCCTTAATGGAGGTATTTTGTTTCTCACCAATCTCATTATCAGAAATTCCCTGTTGATGGTTCTGAAGACTTTTTCATATATCCAGTGGCCATTTGAATTTCTTCTCTTGAGAAGTGTCTGTTTAGTTCATTTGTCCATTTACTAATTGGGTTATTTATTTTGGGGTGTTACGTTTTTGAGTTCTTTATATATTCTGGATATTAACCCTTTGTTGGAAAAGTAGCTGGCAGATTTTATTCCATTATATAGGTTCTCTCTTCATGCCCTTGCTTCCTTTGCTGTGCAGCTTTTTAATTTGATACCATCTTATTTACTAATTCTTGGTATTATTTTCTGAGCTTTAGGAGTCCTATTGAGGAAGTCCTTGCCTGCACCTATATGTTGGAGTGTTAGCCCTACATTTTCTTCTAGTAGTTGCAAAGTTCTGATCTAATTCCTAGATATTTGAACCATTTTGAGTCAACTTTTGCGCAGGATGAGAAATAGAAATCTCCTTTCATTCTACAAACACTGTGCTTTTATCTATCTGCTTATTTGTTTATTTATTTATTTTTAATATATGACAGAGGAATGTATTACAATTCTTATTACACACATAGAGCACAATTTTTCATATCTCTGGTTGTATACACAGTATTTTCACACCAATTCATGTCTTCTTACATGTACTTTGAATAATAATGATCATCACATTCCACCATCATTTCTAACCCCATGTCCCTCTCTTCCTCTCCAACCCCTCTGCCCCATCTCGAGTTCGTCTATTCCTTCCATGCTCCCTCTCCCTATTAAACACTGTGATTTTAAAAGAACCTTCACAACAATCCTTTAAGTCTCTATTTGCAGATAAACAAACCAATGTCAATAGAAGGATTCCAGTCAAGGACTCTTTGACCAAAACAATTCAGTACTTTTTCTACTATGGAATGAGGGTTGCACAAATGAAAATCAAATGTTAACAGTAGCTTTAAAACATAATATTCATCTAATCATATGATGTTATGGGAAACTTCATTAAATAAAATATTCTCACTTATAATTTAATGCAACTTGGAAAAAATTATTTATCCCGTAGTTTTCAAATATTTTTAATTTATTAAAAAACTAGATTCAGCTGGGTGTAGTGGCGCATGCTTGTAATCCCAGTGGCTAGGGAGGCTGAGACAGGAATATTGCAAGTTCAAAGCCAACCTCAGCAACTTAACAAGGCACTAAGCAACTCAGTGAGACCCTGTCTCTAAATAAAATAAGTCTAGGAATGTTGCTCTGTGGTTGAATGCCCCTGAGTTCAATCTCTAGTAACAAAAATTTTAAAAAATAGATTCAGGGGCTGGGGTTGTGGCTCGGTAGTAGAGGGCTCACTTAACATGGGTGAGGCACTGGGTTTGATTCTCAGCACCACATAAAAATAAAATAAAATAAAGTTATTATATGTTCATCCATCTACAACTAGAATTTTTTTTAAAAAAAAAAACTAGATTCATATATAGTTCCTAAGTTGTACATATGTTAAATGGTAATTGCTAACTTCACAAAAACTCACACAACACTATTAAATTAATATATTATATGAATCATTTATGTCGAAGTCATTGTGAGTATATTAACTCCAGGTAGCACATAATATCTTTTGTGTCTTTGCCACATTTGATTTCTCAGCTCAGAAATATGGAAAAATTGGCCTGATGTTGACATTTGATTTGGGAAAATACTGAATTTCCTCTTATACCAGAAAAGCAACTTGGAACATTTTAGAGCGAGAACCCATTTTTAAAGTAAAAGATTGATGGGTAGTGAGGATGTGGGAAAAAAAGTACACTCATGCACTGCTGGTGGGACTGCAAATTGGTGCAGCCAAATGGAAAGCAGTATGGAGATTTCTTGGAAAATTGGGAATGGAACCACCATTTGACCCTGCTGTCCCTCTCCTTGGTCTATACCCAAAGGACTTAAAAACAGCATACTACAGGAACACACCACATCAATGTTTATAGCAGCAGAATTCACAATAGCTAAATGTTGGAACCAACCTAGATGCCCTTCAATAGATGAATGGATAAAAAAAATGTGGCATATATACACACTAGAATATTACTCAGCAATAAAAGAGAATAAAATCATGGCATTTGTAGGTAAATGTATGGAGTTAGAGAAGATAATGATAAGTGAAGTTAGCCAATCCCAAAAAATCAAATGCCGAATGTTTCCTTTGATATAAGGAAGCTGATTCATAGTGGGATAGAGAGAGTGAGCATGGGAGAAATAGATGAACTCTAGATAGAGGAGTTGGAGAGGAAGAGAGGGGCTTGGGGTTAGAAATGATAGTGGAATGTGATGATCATTATTATCCAAAGTACATGTATGAAGACAAAAATTGGTGTGAATATACTATGAATACAACCAGAGATATGAAAAATTGTGCTCTGTATGTGTAGTAAGAATTGTAATATATTCTGCTACCATATATAAATTTTAAAATTTTACATTAAAAAAAGATTGATGGATATTTACTAAGTGGTTCACACAATTAAAATAAGTCTTGTCTGGGCATATCTTCCAGAGAATCAACACTTTGTAATTGTCACCTGTGAGCTACATAATTCAGATACCTGAAGTAATATCTTATGCAACCAATGTTATGACCATCTTATGCAAGTGGTAAGACTTGCTCCATTTACCTGTTATGTAAGTATAATCACATTTCTTTAATTTTTTTAGTCAATATCTTGAAAATCAGTTTACCTTTATTCTCAAGAACAAGAAAATTTTCTTTCAAGACCTCTCTGTGTCCACCACCATAATAATCTAAGAATGCAATCTAAGGCATAGTTCTGTTTTCCAAATACCATATAGAAAAAGAAAGATTGGAATCTACAAGTACTGTTGCTATGGTTGCTACCATAATGTTTTGTTACTGAATTCTGAATTCTGGAGCCTGAGTCCTCCATTTAACACATTTTATACTAAAATATTCACTGAACATCTTTGACATGCCAGATGCTAGACTAGGCACCAGGCATATAATGAAGAACACTGAACATGGCTATTTGCTTGTAAGGTTTTCTCAATACTATAGTCAAGAAGATGATATAATTATTGGACTAGATAGACCAGTTTATGGAGTTGTTCCATGGTTGTGTTCTGTTAAAACTCTCCTGGATCACATATAGACTCAGACATTGTATCCTAATTGGCAGGGATTTGAGAGTCTTGACCCTAAACTGCACCTTCAAGTAGAAAAAGAGTCTATCTCCATGCCCAAACACTGAGGCCTGGAGGTCAAGCCTGGATCATCAACTGAAAGTATTCCAGTCCTTCAGGTGAGTTTCTCCTTGTGGCACTTGGTGCCTTGCCTCCTAAAAGGTTCTCTGACTCCGAGTTCAGCAGTTCAGGTTAGTATGTTGCTCTCACTTTACCAGAAAGCTCTGCATCCTTGTGCAACTCATATACTTCTTCCCAGAATTTCTGTACTCCAGTGAAAGAAACTGCTGTTAATCCATATCCAGGGGGAGAGGGACATCTTGTGATCTTTGTGACCTTACATTTATGCAAGAAATGGAAACCACTGCAGAAAGCCTTCACAGAATAGTCAAGACTAGTGAATCCCCATGTGACTCTACCTAGAGAAAAAAATTGAGGCTACTACAATGAAACAAGAATCTGCCATCATCTTGGGGGAGAGGAGCAGGGATAATACTCTTGGATCAACTCCAGGAAATCTTATTTATAGACCTAATTTTCTAATAAATATGATTGTGTGTGTGTGTGTGTGTGTGTGTGTGTGTGTGTATGTATGTGTTGAGCAACAAAGAACAAAGTGATGTTCTTAGGGGTAGGGGGTGGGGGAGAAAAGACACTAATTTTCCACACACAAAAAAAAATATGTGTGTGTGTTTATGCACATACATGCTTGTGTGTATGTATGTGTGTTTTATAGCATAGGGTATTATTTTAGTCTGTTTTCTTTTATTGTAACAGAATAACTGACATTGGGTAATTTATAAAGAACAGAAATTTACTTCTTATAGTTCTAGAGGCTGGAAAGTCCAAGAGCATGGCACCAGCATGTTGCAAATGCCTTCTTTCTGAGTTATAACATGGCAGCATATCACATGGTAAGGAAGCACACACATGAGACAGATAATAATGGTTTGAACTCACCCTTTCAGTAGGAACCTACTCCTGAAATAACCAACACACTCCCCCGATAACAGTCCTGAACTGCTGGGTGCAGTGGATGCCTATCATCCTAGCAATTCAGGAGGCTGAGACAAGAGGATTACAAGCTCAAGGCCAGCCTCAGCAACACAGTGAGGTTCTGTCTCAAAATAAAAAATAAAAAGGACAAGGATGTTGCTTAGTGGTACCTTTGTGTTCAACCCCCAGAACCAAACGAACAAAGACAAAAGAAACACAGCAAAAATAAGACAGAACCACGTTGACCTATTCTTGAGAGTGGTGCCATCATGACCTAATTCCCTCTTCAAGGTCAACCTCTTAATACTGTTAACAGTGGCCATTAGATTTCAATGTGAGTTTTGAAGGGCACATTCAAATCATAAGTTGTTAAATATAAATATAAAATATTTTTATAGTTATGCTTCTGTATACTTTATATAGGGGATTTTAGTTGGAGATCTTATATTTTAGACAGAACATTTAGTTTTCACTTTCTTAGCCCATAAAATCTAGAAATGGAAACCTCTGATGTCTCCCATTCCAATCTTCAAGTCATTACCCCAAACTGTTGACAAAATTAAGCTGTACAGATCAGGTTGACCCGCTGGAGAGCCGCTCACTAGTGTGCATGATGTGTCAGGGAGAAATGGGCCAGGCCTCTGCACTTAACAAAATTCTCAGTTGGTTTCCAGACTCCACCACTTAGTAAGGGTGACTCTGGGCAAATTGCCTAATCACAAAGTCTTGGTTTTTCCCTTTTCTAAAATCTGGAGGGAAAATGATTTTTCTGTGTTATTATAAGGACTAAATATAACATTTCTTAATATTTCTGGTATCATTGGTGGTATTCCAAGCAAGAGCAATTAAAAAAAAAAATTGTGTGTGGTTGTAGATGGACAACATGCCTTTATTTTATTTGTTTATTTTTATGCAGTGCTAAGAATCGAACCCAATGCCTCATAAGTGCAAGGCAAATGCTCTGCCACTGAGCTACAGACCTAGCCCAAGACCAATTTATTATTGCAATTAGGACAGGGAAGTCAGTCCTCTGCTTCAAAGAATCTTTGCAAACTGTAATGTGTCTGAAGCTGGTCACTGTTCCTAGTATCTATTCTCTCATTCTTCTAATATTAATAAAACAATAGTAGTTTTAGCTGGCTGTGTGACTTAGCTAAGATTTATACTTACTTTTTCTCTTGAAGTTGGGTGGCCACGTGGCTAACTACAGGCCAGTGGCTTGTGAGGAGTGGTGCTGTATGTATCCTTCACATCATGCACTTAAATGAACATTTCCTCCCCCATTTTCATCCCACTCACCCTTCCTATTATAGGGTTGAATTGTGTCCCTCCCTCCACCAAATTCTTACCTTGAAGTCCTAATCCCTAGTATTGTAAGGATACTAAAATATGTGGGCTTATTTGGAATTAGGGTCATGGCAGATGTAATTGACTGAGATGAGGTCTGTCTTGGTTTGGACACAAGGTATCCTCCCTAAGCTCCTGTGTTAATGCAGGAATGTTTGCAGCTAAAGTGGATTGTGACAGCTACAACCTCATCACTCCACCCTAAATTGATCGCACTGACTGGCTGGTAACTGTTGGCAGGCCGGGTGTGGCTGTAGGAGGTGTGTCACTGGGGATGTGCCCCAGAAGACTTGTTCTTCCCTGCAGCCTTTCCCCCCTCCCTCTCTTCACTTCCTTCTGTCATAAGGGGAGCAGCTTCCCTCCATCACACCCTTCTGCCATGATGTTCTGCCTCGCTGGGACCCAGAGCAATGGAGTCAGCCAACCACAGACTGAGACCTCTGATACCGTGAGCCAAAATCAAGTTTTCCTTTTCTAAGTTGTTCTTTTCAGGTGTTTTGGTTACAGGGAAGAAATAGCTGACTAAAACAAGAGTGGGCCCTAATCCAGAATGATTGGTATCCTTATAAAAGGGGGAAATGTGGGGCTGGGGATATGGCTCAGTGGCAGAGCGCTTGCCTGGCACATGTGAAGCACTGGGTTCAAGTTTCAGCACCACCTAAAAATAAATAAATAAAATAAAGATATCATGTCCATCTACAACTAAAAAAAAGTGGGAGGGGGATGTGGAAACAGAAATAGACACAAGAAGAAGGAAGATGATTTAAAGACACACTGGGAGAAGACAGCAGTCAGTCATCTGTAAGTCCAGAGGCCTAGAACAGATCTTTTCCTTGTGGTCCTCAGAAGTTACCAAACTTGCCAACACCTTGATTTCAGATAGTGAGACAGTAAATTTCTATTGTTTAAGTCACTTAGTTTGTGGAAGTTTGTTATGACAGGCCTAGGAAACTAGTACATCCTGATCTCTTTTTCACCCTCATTGCAGACTGGGATATAGTCGCAGTGCACTTGGTGGTGAGCCACATTTGACCACGTGGGCAAGGTAATGGGATAGAAACAGTAGACAGCATTGTGGTGCCACCAATTCGTCACTGGGCTACTTAAACATGGAGTTCTATGTGAGAGAGGAATAACTTCTGTCTGGCTTGAGCTATTTTTTGTTTCAGAATCTGGACCAATATCCTAACTAAAAGGATGATTAGTAAGCAGCTCTATTTATTAGGGGAGTCTGTGAAAGCACCATTTAGTGTAACTCTTGGCTAAGTGGAATGCTCTAGTTTAGATGGAAAATATTTACAATTTGGGGTTGAGGTAGGAAGAAAGTAGACACATTTATTTCTGGTTGTGGGCACACTCACTCAAAGGCTCAATGTTAAAATTCAATGGACTGTTTTCAGGGCGCCATATGGTTTAATAAAATAACCTTGTCTAGAAGTATTCTAATACCTGGTTCTCATGTTAGTCAAATTTGTTGCTGTAGTAATTATTATTATTATTATACCTACCAATTATGATCCTCCTCCCCATTATGAAATTTACTTTCAGTTATTTTTAACATTTTGCTCTCATTTGGACTTTGAATGTCTTAAATGTAAGGAAAGAGGTACTTTTGATAGCGTTTAGACTGAGTCTATATGACTGAAAAAAAAGTAGGTAATTGTTTAGATTTTTATATTAGATAGATGGCAATGTATCAAATTTTTCATTTTTATAAACATGGCTAGAAAAGGGATATTTTTTAAAAATGTCAAATAAGAAGCAAGCAATTCTTTTTATTTCTGTCTTTCCCTGTATCCCCAGATAATGTCATTTATTTGTTCAGCAGCACTGGGGATCAAACCCAGGAACTTGTACATGCTGGACGGTCACTCTACCATTAAGTTTTACCCTTAGCCCAATGTCAGTCTTTTAAACCCAAGTATTACTCTCATCACTTGGCTTCAGAGTAATTCATGTCATTCAGGATTCTTCCAATCTTTGAATATCTGTGTTTGAAATTAAACCCCTTTTTGTCTTCGGTTTCTCTTTGTCCTTTACATCTGTAGGTTTCTCTCAACTGGCAATATTTTCTATTAATATGTTTAAAAGAAGATTCCTCATCTGACTCCAATTCCTGGTATGTGTGTGTGTGTGTGTGTGCTCTAATTACAGAGTTTGTTGCTACTTTTGGCTTTCTAGACGACAGAATACTTGAATACACTCTCTCTTTGTATTTTCTATTGTTGGATAATAAATTATCTTGAAATGGCTTGAAACGGTACACATTTATTATCTTATAATTTCTACGGGTTAGTAATCCACGCGTGGTTTAGCCGAGTCTTCTGCTTGAGGCTTTTTCACCAGGCTCAATCAAGATGTCAGCCCAAGGGCTCTCCACTGTGACCATCACGGTGTTGGCTGGAGCTGCAGTCAATTGTAGCTGAAGACTGAAAAGGGGAAGGGCCCACTCCCAGCTCACTCACATGGTTGTTGGCTAGATTTGGTTCTTTATGATCCATTAAATTTAAGACTGTAGCTCCTCAGTGGTTATTGGTCAAAGCCATCCTCAGTTCCTTGCTACATGAGCCTCTCCCTCAAGTTTTATGGCTGTTACCAATTTATAGGTTGTTCCAATTTATAGGTTGCAATTCTAGTCCCCATTGTATCAGCAGTTGGCCTTGTTTGGAAATAGGGTCATTAAGATAAGGTCATTAGGGTGGGCCCTAATTCAATATGATCAGTATCTTTTTTATAAGAAGGGGGAATTTGAATATGGACATGCACATAGAGACACTGTTATGTGAAGATAAAGACAGAGATCATGCTGATGTTTCTACAGGGCAAGGAATGGCAATGATTATTAGAAAATCTCTGTAAGCTAGAGGAGAAGCACAAAACAGATTCTTCCTCATGGCCCTCAGAAGGAACCAAGCCCACTGTCACCTTGATTTAAGACTTTTAGATGACAGAACTGTGAGACAATAAATTCCTGTTGTTTAAGCCAACCAGTTTATGGTACTGCGCAACCCCAGAAAACAAAAACAGCAAGTAGGCCAAGGAGACAAGAGAGCACTATTGAGAAGGAGTGCCAGTAAGAACATGGTGTTCTCCAACTGATCTTGGAACTGGCATTCCCTCAATTTTGCTATATTTTCTTTGTTAGGAGAAAGTCACTAGGTTCAGCCTACACTCAAGGGAAGGTAATGACACAAAGGCCTGAGTGCTGGAAGGCAGAGATCATTGGGAGCCATTTCAGAAGACAACTCTAGATGGCTACCAGATTCCTCCTGTTTCATTAATTTCCAGTATACCTAAAGCTGATCTTTAAGAAAAAAAAGAGAGATAAAGAGCAGAAACAGGAGACCAAGAACAGAAATGAATTGAGAAAGTATGTTCTTAAAACAAAGAAAAGTAGAGCTGGGCCTAGTGGTGTGTGTCTGTAGTCTAGGCTACTCAGAAGGTTGAGGCAGAAGGATCTTTTGAATACAGAAATTCAAGGTCAGCCTCAGCAACATAGTGAGAACCCTCCTCTTGAAAAAGAAAAGAATGATACATGCCTCTAATCCCGAGTGACTTGGGAGGCTGCGGCAGGAGGATGGCAAGTTGAAGGCCAGTCTTAGCAACTTAGGGAAACCCTGTTTCAAAATAAAAAATAAAAAGGTCTGGGGATCCATCTCAGTAGTAAAGCACCCCTGGGTCCAAACCCTAGTATCCAGAAAGAAGAGAAAGAAAACTGATGTCTCCTGATAAATGTTTTAAAGTCTCCTGATACAAAAACAAATGTGTATGTATGTGCTAGCCAGTCTCTGAAAATGACCTCCAATAAATCTTACCTCATAGTACATACTGTCTTATATATACCCTTCCCATAAATCTGGTGACTTGCTTTAATCAATTGAACATGTCACAAGACCTCGCAGCTTTCACGTTGGTGTCAGGAACCCTGAGTCACCACGGAAAAGCATGAAGAGGGACAAACCCTGATACTACAGAGAAAGAGAAAACCCACTCATCTCCACCATCCCCACCATGTGGTGAGCTCAGCTTTCCTGTCATTCCCACCACCGTACCAAACCCGGGAGAGAGTCCTTTTGGAATTTTTTCATCCCAAAAGACTTCCCTGAAGTATGACCAATATAAGAAATGTCCAAACAAGCCTCCAGCTAACCTAGAAAATTTTGAGAAATGAGAAATTATTTCTGTTTTAAACCACTAAGTTTTGGGGGGTGGTATATCAAACATCAACAGATAGCTGAAACACCAGTTAATGAATCTAAAGCCTGTGTCTGGTGCCTAGTACATGCTAGGCTCCTACTTCTTTCTCAAATAAGTATCACTTAATTCTCTCACCAGTCTTGTGAGGTCATAATGATCATTCCAGTTGTACAGGTCAGACAGAGCTGCAAAGCACCTCAAGCATGAAGTGATATATGTGTGTCTAGACATACAGTTATTGGGAAAGTCAAATGGGGCCTAAGGTTTATAAGCAATTAGCTTCTTTGTTCTTCCAATGTGAAGCACAAATCCGACCACTTCCTGATTTCTATGATAAACAAGAGTTAAGAGTGGCATATCCAAAAGTTACTTGCAGTTGTATCTGACTTCAAGTCAAGTGTGCTATGCATTGGCACAGACCTGCCTCCTAAGACATTTTCATCATCTTCATCAGTGATATTCAACTTTTTGGAGGTCATGAATGTCAGGCACACTTGAGACAAGGAAAGGCCAAGGCCAAGTCCTAGCTGATTTGTCTAGTAAAGATTCTATGAGTCACTTTTAGATTCTGCTTGTTGCCTACATAGAGAGCAAGAGAAAGAAGACCCAAACATGTCAGCTCCCACGAGCCTGTCCTGACATCAAAAAGGACAACAATGGAAAAGGGGGCAGGGCACATGACTGCAACTTGAGTTGCGAGATGCCACATTGCTGTGGAGCCATTTCTATATAGCGGCTGAGTAGAGCAGATAGCCCCACGCTTCCCGAGAACCCAGGAGACCTTAGGAAAGCAAGTGGAAAATGGCCTCAGAGCAGCCCCTCACAGGTTTCCCCTCATCTTGTGTCACAGTAGGGTCACAAAGCATGCTACCAACACTTGGATAAGCTATTGTTCAAACCTTTGTCTGTGTGGCTGTGCAGATCCACAAAACTCACC